GTACTAGTACAAAAACAGACATATAGACCAATGGAACAGAACAGAGAGCCCACAAATGAACACACAAACTTTTGGGCAACTAATCTTTGACAAAGGACGCAAGAATAGACAATGGAATCAAGACAGTCTCGTCAGCAAATGGTGTTGGGAAACCTTACAGCAGCATGTAAAGCAATGAAGCTAGAACACTCCCTCACACCATACGCAAAAATTAACTCAAAATGGATCAAAGACTTAAACATAAGACAAGATACAATAAACCTCCTAGAAGAAAATATAGGCAAAACATTATCTGATATACATCTCAAAAATGTTCTTCTAGAACAGTCTACACAAGCAATAGGAATAAAAGCAAGAATAAACAAATGGGACCTAATGAAACTTACAAACTTCTGTACAGCAAAGGAAACCATAAGTAAAACAAAGACAACCTACAGTATGGGAGAAAATTTTTGCAAATGAAACCGACAAAGGCTTGATCTCCAGAATATATAAGTAGCTCATACGACTTAGTAAGAAACAACCAAACAACTCAATCCAAAAATAGTCAAAAGACCTAAACAAGCAATTCTCCAAGGAAGAAATACAAATGATCAATAGGCACATGAAAAAATGCTCAGTATCACTAATTATCAGAGAAATGCAAATCAAAACTACAATGAGGTATCACCTCACACCAGCCAGAATGGACATCATTCAAAAGTACACAAATGATAAATGCTGGAGAGGCTGTAGAGAAAGGGGAACTCTCCTACACTGCTGGTGGGAATGCAGTTTGGTGCAGCCACTGTGGAAAACAGTATGGAGATTCCTCAAAAGACTAGGAAGAGACTTACCGTATGACCCAGGTATCCCGCTCCTGGGCATATATCCAGAAGGAACCCTACTTCAGGATGACACCTGCACCCCAATGTTCATAGCAGAACTATTTACAATAGCCAAGACATGGAAACAGCCTAAATGTCCATCAACAGATGACTGAGTAAAGAAGATGTGGTATATTTATATGATGGAATATTATTTAGCCATAAAAACTGACAACATAATGCTGTCTGCAGCAACATAGATGTTCCTGGAGAATGTCATTCTAAGTGAAGTAAGCCAGAAAGAGAAAGAGAAATACCATATGAGATCGCTCATATGAGGAATCTAAAACAAAAACAAAAACAAAAACAAAATATAAATACAAAACAGAAACAGACTCATAGACATTGAATACAAACTTGTGGTTGCCAAGGGGGTGGGGGGTGGGAAGGGATACATGGGATTTCAAAATTGTACAATAGATAAACAAGATTATACTGCATAGCACAGGGAAATATATACAAGATCTTGTGGTAGCTCATAGCAGAAAAAAAAATGTAACAATGAATATATATATGTGTGTATAACTGGAAAATTGTGCTCTACACTAGAATTTGACACAATATTGTAAAATAACTATCACTCAATAAAAAATGTAAAAAATAAAAAAAATTTTTTCAAAAAGTAAAAAAAAATTCTAGAAATGGCAAAATTAAAGAAATGGGGAACATATTATAGGTTTCCAGGGAATGAGAGATGGTAAAGTGGGAGGGAAGTCTGTGTGGCTGTGAAAGAGTAACATAAAGGATCCTTGAGGTGATGGAGATGCTCTGTATCTTAACTGTATCAATGTTAACATCCTAGTTGTGATATTTGCAGTATAAATTAGAGAGATTACCTTTGGGGGGAACTTTATCATTTCTTACAGCTGCATGTCAATCTACAGTTATATCAAAATAAAAAAGATTACTTTTAAAAAGTCAAAAGATGGAGGCAAAATCAGGGAAACAAGTATGTCAGTTTGTCAGTTACAGCATGAGCCTCAGAACCTTGACATCCTAACGGTCAGTGACCCTGACTGCTGCAGAAGCCTCAGGCTTCCGGGAGTAGTTCACAGCACTCTGCCAAGTGCTGTAGACACACTCGGTTTTCAGAGCCAAGAATTAAAGAAAAAAGGATGTTCACCTCAATCAGTGAGTGTTTAGGTCATTCAAGGTTTCACCACTTAAGGTAATCTTTTAATACACCTTTTTTCATTGTTAATATTATCATGCATCTTAATTACATCATATCATGTGAAACTTTTTTCATTGAAGTAAAGACAGTTTACAATGCTGTGTTAATTTCTGGTGTACAGCGAAATAGTTAAGTCATACATATACTATTTTTGATCAACAAAGCAGACTGGTGGTCACAGGAGGTTTGTTTCCTCTAAAACCTATGAACGATTTTTTACCTTCAGAACTGGTTTCATGAAATGTTACTCATGTTTTTAAGATTCAGTGCTGCTGAGCACAAGAGAGCAGATTTTATATTCTTCATTGGGGGGGTCACTTCTTAACTCCAAAGGAAAAAACTTTCTGTAGATCTATGAAAATATCTGGCCTATTTATCAGAGTTTTTATGTTCTGTTCAATTTAGCTGTTTTACCTATGATGAAGACAAGTTCTGTTAGAGCTTAGCTGTAGCTCAGCAAAGTAATAGAGCTAAGAATTTCCTCATATCTAGAAACTTTTAAATGTTTCCAATGTTATTTGCTGATCTTTCAGAATTTTCCCCCAGAATCTGAATATTGATTAAATGAGATTGGAGTCAGTTTACAAAAATCCTGTCATTTGAATTTTTATGTTAAAATGAAACAAAATTATAATTACTTCTTTGCAAGACTCCATATCATCTTATCTATGTTAGGCCGCAAATCATCCTAATTGGGGTTTCCTTTTTGTTTTTTACCTTCTTGTAATACACTATGTCTTAAGCCTCTTGGTTCTCCCCTTCCCTAAAGTTCATGATCAACTTTGCTGTCTTCTCCTTTTCCCCACCTCTAAGAGTGGCATGCCCTAGCACCTTGTCCTTGAAACTGTATTCCATCCACTTCAAACCCTAAGGAACCTCATTTCTTTTAATAGTTTTCTGTAACTTACTAACTCCAGATTTTGAGCTGTGAAGCCTTTTTTGGGAGATTGAGGCTGTCAACCTTGACGTTTAACATAAACTCCATCACATATTTGACCAATGACTAGCTGTTCTGTGGTTGTTTGATGTTTTGCAGGAAAAGCCCTTCTGTTGCAGTGGAGGCCCACAGTGAAAATAAATCATCTCAGGACGCCAATAATACCGTGCTGATTCATGGCCCCATAGAGCTCGTAAGAGGCTGGAGGAGGCAGAAGGGGCAACTCGTCCCAAACAGTGATACATTGCTTACATCTAACGTCAAGTATGCATATCCTACGCTCTCTCGATTATCATAAAGTTGTATGTCCACTAACTCTTACTGTAAGAAAATGTGACAGGCAGGGTCTGTCTTGTCTGGGGCTTTCAGATGATAAAACTAAGGGGGGGGGGAAACTACAGATTATCAGTGCTTCTAATACAAGGTAGACAGGACACCATGTAAAAAAGATGACAGGCCCCTATTACAGAGGGGATGTCTAGCAGGGCCGCTCAAAGTGGCACCCTTTAAACTGCACCTATGGGATGAACAGCAGCCACCGTTCCCAGACAAGGTGTCTGCGCCTTATAGACTGAGGGACAGCAGGCCTAGGTGGGTGCAACTTGGCCCCTGGGAGGGAGGAGATCAATGAAGGCCAATGTGACTGGGGCCTACAGCATAGGGCATATTAGGTATGATACTGTGTTCAGGGGGTCCAGTCACACAGAGTCTCCATAGGCCATAGGAAGGGGCTGAAATACTATGCTGAGCCAGTATCACCAGCACAGTCACCATATCTGGTTTACATTAGCAAAATTTTCTGCATGTGGGGAGACCTCTCTCCCTTCTCTAGAAGCCCACCAATCCTATTGGATTAGAATCTTACCCTGATGACCTCATTTAACCTTAAGTACATCCTAAACCCTCTGTCCCCAAATACAGCCATACTGTCAGTGAGGGCTTCAATGCATAAAACAGGGTGTTAGCGGGGATGAGGGAGACGTAGTTCTGTAGGTGGTAATAACTACCAGGACCGGATGCTGCCACCCTGTACAAGTTCTCACCACGTTTTTTAGAAAACCAGCTACAAGATCATTCCCTTATTAATATTTGAGTGTATTCATGATCATTGTTAATATGAAATAATTTACATTTTCCAGTAAGAAACAATAGCTAAACAAAATCCTCTTGAGTCGATAAACTTATTTCTCCCCTGCCATATCGCACTCTTAGATGGAGTTTTGTATTATGTCCTGAATCAATCTGTTCAAATTAACAATCTGAGTTTGGCACCAAGTTTTTCCACTTAGCCATAAGAACGGTGGGGGTGAGGGGACTGAGGTTCCATTCTGCCTCAGCTCACCTGGACTTCAGCTGGAAACTCACTCCTCTTCAGATTTATACTGCAGAAGCCAGCACAAATGGAACAGTTGACTAACTGCTACCTATGTATTTGGACAGAGTAAGTGAATTTCAGTTTGCGTATAGTAATAAAGACTTAAACGTTTATTTTTTCAGAAATATTTCTCCAGTTGTGTAAGATGCTAATATTCAGTGACAATTGTTTTGAGATTTTTGTCACTTTTCATATTACATACATTAGAAACTTCTCAAGAATTAAAGTCAGATAAAGTCTTCAATATCACTTTGATATTCACTGAAATGCTTAATAATTTTTCCTAACAAAATTGTTTATTTTTTAGAACAGGATCTACATTATAAATATTAACATATTAGTACTAGCAGAGTCCTATGAAGAACCTGTAAATGGGGACCTCATATAGCACACACCATCTTTAGACATCACTCCTCAAATTTACTTATTAAAGAATACAGAGACAATGAAGGAGACAAATTTTATTTAGGTCTAAAGATGAAGATTACTGATAACTTATTGAAATGAAAGGTACTAATAGAATCTTTCATGATCCCAACTCCCAAGCATCTAAGGGAACACCCCTGTCTGAGAATAGGGGAATTTCTGCAGAATCTTAGAAATTCCACAGCTCACTGGGGCTCGCCCTCTGCTATAAAGGTTGAGGGGGAGGAAAGGGGAGGGGTATCCATCTTGTTAACAGATTGTAATAAGGACACATGATAGAAACTGAAAGTTCAATCCTCCTCTCCCTTTTCCTTGATCCACTTAACATCAGATTGATTCTCTAATTCCTACTGAGAAAATCTCGGAGTAAGTGACTGGGTATGAAGAAACACAGTGAGACTCTAGGAGAATCCCCTAGAAGATGAAGTTTTATTGTGATATTTTAAATATTTCTACACTAACTTCTGCCTTTTTGATACAATGTCATGAGATTTATCATCTCACTCCCCAAGTGAAAGAACAGTCCCATCAGAAAGCCTGGTGGCTCTAGGGAAATAGCAGGAAAGGGGAGGTGGGTACTTCAGGGAACTATAGGTCAACACCCATGAACGCTAAGTGGTTGTGAGCACAGGCTCATGAGTTACACAGTCTGGTTTCAAATCCGGTTTTTGTTGCTCCTGGCAATTTATTTAGCCTCTCTGTGAGTTTCCTCACCCATAAAATGAGGCTAATAATGACTATATGATGTAGTCATTTGGCAATGAAATAAAATAATGTTTATAAAATATTTAGAACAATGCTTGGCATATGGTAAGTGCTCAGTGTTACAGGAGAGTGGAAACCCTGCTCTAGGTTTTTAGATAATTTCTTGGTTTAGTTTCAAGGGAGTGCATAATCTTGGCACTTCATTGAACTAAGGAGAGAATTATTGAAATGAACTTTTCTAGGTCTGTCTGAAAGTCTCTACACAGTACCTCGAGTGTCTATACACAGACACCTACATCAGAAAAAAGAAGTGTAAAATCTAGCAGATATATGTGTCTATCATTCCCACCAGCCACATAATTTTAGCTTGATAATGCCTTTACAGTCACTGTCTAGAAAAATAATTTTATCTGATTGTGATTCATAAAAACTTTCAAATACACAGACATAGGGTAAAACTGATGAAATGGAATGCAGCAAAAGCCCACCCTGTAT